GGGGTCCAGGGAGTCCGGACCCTCCCTTGCTCGCGCAGAAAATGCATCTGAGGGGGTGTAATTTTAAAAAATTTGCTCGCAAGTGCTCGCAACTTTGGGTTACGGTTAGACCCCCCTGGTACAAATCCTGTACACGCCCCTGCCGAGCAAATTGCCAACATTGAAAAACGAACCCCCCCCCCCAATATAAAGCTGGCTACGGGCCTGTATATATATGATATAATGCTGCGCACACCATACACTATTGTGTCTAAGTAAAAAAGTATAATAGTACCTCTATGGCGCACACTGTGGCGCTGCGATCGCAATCAATAAACATCATGGCGATTCATGTGTTACTGATTGTAAATATTTTGCTGTTTACGCACACCCAACGAGTGTCTGCGCTAGTTACAGATTTAAATAATGTAAATTTTGGCTCGTTTACGTCAACTGGCGACGTAAAACTGATATATTTCTACAATACGTTGTCGTCCGAAGTCAGTAATTTCCTTAGAATACTCGACGAATCTTCGCAACTGTTGGAGCCATATGGCGTACAACTGGGAAACACGAACTGTGCAGAGCAAAACGTCCATCCCTACTGCAGTAGGGGTGACGTAGAGGACAACATATTTGTGTTTAAAGTAGGATGGGAACATGTTGAGCTTTCGCTGGACTCAGTATTTGATGTCGATTCAGTTGTTGCGAATGCACTGCAGTTGGTATTGTTGAGGGAAACCCCCATCATCCTTGATGTAGAGATGAGAAAGAAGCTGGAGAAGAATCTTAAAGGAAAGAAGGACTTGATTTTATCATACCACGATGAGTTAGGAACGCGAGAGCACAGGGCGTTTATGGAGGTTGCATTTGCGTACCAGGATGATTTTCAATTTGCACTGACTACAAAGTTTGAGGCAACACAAGGTCTTAGTGGGCATGCCCTTAAGGGGAATTTATCTGCGATCATGTGGTACATACAGTGCAAGTCTGATAACTGTGCTGATGTACTCTACAGGGATGAGTTCAACGTTGTTGGGTTCATGACCTTTTTGAAGGCAGTAAACCTACCATCTATTGTCAAAATACCACCTCTTGATTTTCCTGGTGCCGATGTGCGGATAAACAGAGTTTACATTGTGAGTAACTTGTGGAACTCGGAAATCAATAGCTCTATTTCACTGGTACTGTCTCATCTAAAATGCATGGTGCAAGTAGTGGTTGTAATAGCAAAAAATATGAAGCTGAAGGATTGGGAACGAGTCGGTTTCAGTGTAAGCCAAGGAAAGTTGCCTACTGTCCTGCTCAGGCTCAGATACCAAGGCTACAAGGTGATGCCGGGAGAGATGACTCCTACTGGTGTGCTTAATTTCGTCATGGATAAACTGGATGAGGCCATGCGAAGGTCAAGCTACACAACGATTACTGTTCCCGAGACGGAAGAGCTGTCAGAGGACGTTTTGTCATTAGCTCATGATAGTGTCTTCAAGGCAGTACACAAAGCAGGTGGGCATAAAGTTGTGCTGTCCCTGCAGGCTCTCACAGACGAAACCTTTGAAACAGTGTTGAAGGAGGAAAACTGTGATGTCGTTGTGTTTTACCAACCCTGGGATCATATTAGCATAGCTCTACTGCAAAGCTTAGTCGAAATTGCTGATGATAAGAATATGGATTATGGGATAATCGTTTCCCGGTTGAACTGTGCTGACTGGACACATGTCTGCCAGCAGAATCATGTGAACCACTTTCCAGTTGTAAAGATATATTGCAAAGCAAATCCACCAGTACAATATGAGGGTCTGCTAGATGGTAAAACCATCCTTAACTCTGTGATGTGGTACGTGGATAGGCCGATCAGTATTCCTAACAAAGAGACAGTTGATGCTTTCATATCTGGTAAAATGGCAAAATTCTCCAACGATGATACAACCCTTACTGTTCTCGGTCTTCTTAAGTCAAAGGAACATATAGAAATTTTTCGTGAATCTGCGAGAAAGACGACAGGACTTGTCGTTTTTGGTCTCTGCAATGATTCCGCACTCGTAGACAGTGTTGCTGCAAGCCATGATGTCATGCCTCCTGCTGTGATACTTTACAGACCTGGTGACCTGTTTGAGCCATACGTTGTTACGCTTGATCTCTCATCAGCAGACAGTATTGTAAATTTCATCGATTCAAATAGACCTGCGCCGTTTGCTAAACTGACTCCCATTACGCTTCCGGAAATACTTGCTAAACGAAGTCACTTGTTGCTACTTTTTGACGACACCTCTGCTATCATCATGCACGATCTCCTTGGCAGACTTTCTGTGAATCGACTCTACCCTAAGCTTGCATTTGCGTGGATCGATGTATTCGACAACTACAAGTTGGCCAGCGAAATACTGCTTGCGTACAATGCAGAGGTGACACCGCCTGCAGTGTTTCTTGTGGACTTCGCCCATGCTAAAGTCTACCAATATCGCGAAGCTCTGGAGGAGGCTTCGGAGGTGGCCGTCACGGCGTGGATAGACCGAGTTCTCACCAGAGAGGAGGCAGCACAGTCCAACCTTACAAGTCACGAATGGAAACCACGTGTTCCCAGCATCGACTTCCTGACGCTGACGGACCAGCCGGGCGAGACAGTGCGTGGGGACAGGTTTCATACTAATCAGTGGGAGGAGGAAGCACACCAGGAGGAGGAGGAGGAGGAGGAGGAGGACTTGAAAGATGTTAGAAAGGAGGTCGGTGCCGCACTGAGGCGTGAGCTCGAAAACGCAGCTCGGAAAAACAAGAGAATGCAGAAGCATGATGAGCTGTAAACCACTTAATCTGAATTCGTTCATTGTAACCCAGATTCTACAGTCAACCAACGTAATGTTTTTCTGTGTACTATTAGAATTGCATAATGTGTTACTATTGGAATAGTAAGGTGGCTATATAATCAAAAGTTGTATAAATTATATTAAAGTGTCTAATGTGAATTTTAATATATTTTCCTGATGCTAAGCAGGCTGCATTGGTATATTTATTATGATAAGGTTTACTGTGGTATATACTGTAAGACATAGTGAACATACTTTATGAACCAATGGCATCTAAAATTAGGGATGTAATTTTTTCAGAATTCTCTGCTATTTTGCTGAAGCATTATTGGTGATGTGTCTGCAATAACATCCAAACCAGGGTAACTTTCTAAATATGATCTCTCTCTCTAACTGAATGTTATTGGAATGTGAATTGGCCCCTGTGGCATAGGGAGAAGTAGTTCTATATTATTATAAGAAAAATACCTTTACCTGTGTTTTACTACAGGAGGAATATTTTTTCAGGAGAAGCTAGCTATGTTTATATATGTTTTAGGCAAATTTTATTTTTTGATAAATATGTAAGAATGGTATTTATATTGGAATATATTTATTTAACAGTACATCAAATTTAACGTGAATTTTTTTTTCTTTAGGGGATGCGAGTTGTAGAAGAAAAAAACCTCCATCTGTATTTTTTATCTATTTTTTTACTATTCTTTTGGGAAGTTTTAGGAAGGGCAATAACTTCACCCCATTAAATAACCACGCCACAAAGCAACACAGTTGCCAAGACCTTGTGCTGTATGAGCCACAAGATGTTGTACATGCTATATATGTTAGTGAGTATCCTTGCCAGCTAGGGCACATGGCTGGCTCCAGTATAAGATCTTGTGCCTCTATCTTTTCAGAGTTGTGCACGATACCGGTACCGTATGTATGGTATGTGACTCTAATTTCGTGGTAGTTAGTAAGATGTTACCCCCTTAACATTCCCTAGCAGTTGAGTATGTATGGAAATGGTTGATGTAGGGATATATGCTTCCATGAGAGCAGGAAATAATATCATATGCTTTTGTGCTTTCTCAACACAAGCCCATAATTGTGTATGTACATAAATTCACGGGTGCTCAGACAGGTCTTCTGCTAGGTATATATGAATTAACCATGCAGCTTTTTGAATTAAACAAATATGTAAGTGATTGTATACACTCCAGTCACATCTACTTAAAAAACCGCGTAACATAATTAAACTTTTCTCTGTAAAGTGGCACAAAATTAGGACAAGGTTTATCCACTTTGTGTACTATGATATCGTTTCTCCACAAGTTCGTGAATCGTTTTGCATTGTTAGGTTAATATTGTGTAATGTCGTGTGAATGTCGTACTAGTGGAAGACTGGTAGTTTCTGTGAAATATCCGTTAACGATCAAAATATAGCTAGATTACTGTGGAAATTTGAGGTAAGCCTCGTTTGCGATCATGTACATGTGCTACTGTAAATGATATATATGTCAGACAGTGCGTGTAGTGATAACGTTTTACAAGCAACCCATGTCCATGAAAATTAATTTCTATATATTAGAGAAAGACCATTCCAAAGATTACTCTGGAAAACGTTGCTTGCATGTTGGCTATAAGACAGCGCACTAGTTACTAAAAAAAGGTTCGTAAAAGTAGAGAAGGACTTTGGAGAAGAATGTATATTATGTAATCTCAGAATGTGTTATGTGCAAAATGTATTACTTTTACCCATGTTACGATGCTGTGAAGGCAGCTATGTCACTAATTTCCATATAGGGAATAGAATAAAGGGTCTGTTTAGAAAAATAGCGAGCAGATTCTTAACAATAGCTATGGTGAAATAACAAAAGTACAAACTATAAGTTTATGAAATGTGTCAATTAAAGAAGGAATGTATCTGCAACCCCACTATATTTATGTGTTTAGATAAATTAAATGTGAGCCAGTCATGTGTTACTGAAAAGAAAAGAAACTGTTGAAACCACGTATGTATATCGTATATATATATATATACATATCATTATGTCAGCTGAAAGCCTGAGGAAGCGATGTATGTCTCGAAAGCTCGCTGATTAAAATTTAAACACCCTTTACCTATTTTGTGAATTTGTTTTATATATATATATATATATATATATATACGGAATACTGATATGTATTGGAAGTTTGCTAAACCAAACAAAATGTTATCATTTTGGTGCACAAAGTACACAAATTAATTTATTTAAATTATTCAGGCAGTATATTACTCGTATAACATTTTATCCTCAATTTATAGACCCAATCATATTGCTATTCCAAGAATTATATCATGACATATTGGCATGCGTATAATAATTTCTTATTTGTCAAAACTAGCCAGGAATTAATATCATTCATGGTTAAGAGTATAAGCAGTCACAATATGGGCCACAATTCTGCACCTGTGCATGCATTCAAACAAACCTGAAGCTACCCTGTATACAATCCAGTTATGCTCATAGGGTCTATGTCCCCCAGGGTACTATCGGAGGGTACCCTGGGTACGGTTTGATATATCGGAACGAACCCTGGTAACTATCTGATATGGTTAGGGAGTAGGCGTAGGCGACTCCCTAGACTCGTTAGTGGAGTAGGCGAGGTACGGTCCGGCATATTAGAGAGTACCAGGGTACGTTGCGATATATCGAACCAAACCCAGGGTACCCTCCGATAGTACCCTGGGGGACATAGACCCTATGGGCCCCAGTTATCAGCTATAACATCACGAAGCTCTCAGAGGGAGAGAAATTGTTTAGCAAAGCTTGATATTTGTTTACGCTCACACGGCCCGCTCGTGCTTAGGAGTGATGCCGCCACGAGGGGTTTTTCATCATCGCCGCTACTGCGTGTAGAGGCTGGCGGCGAACACGATGTCACGCTTGATGAGACTCGACGCCTCCTCCATCTTCTGACAGAGCACGGGGTCACCGACCAGCCTCGCCGCGTTGCGTACGTCACGGAGCGTCTCGTTGAGTCGCTGGATCGTGCGCACGACGATGCCCTCCGTCACGTCTGTAAGACGCGTGATCTCGGCGAACGGCTGAAGTACAACATGGATGGGCACTTGTTACATATCCCCCCGCGCGGAATCATCTCCTATGTGACCGACTGAAGGAGCGAAGGACAGCACGGCTTAATTCCCACTAATTCCCACGTGGAAGCCTTAATGGTCATGATATAAGGGTCTATGCACATGAACACATGCACGCACACACGCACGTGCGCACGTGTGTGTGCATGCGTGCGTGCGTGCGTGCGTGCGTGCGTGCGTGCGTGTGTGCGTGTATACCGAGTCATGGTATGCGCGGGGAGAATGGACGGCTGCAAGTCTATTTAAAATAAAAGGATAAAGCATTTGTAAGACTAGGAGGTTCTTGCCGCCAAGACAAGTATCTCGTGGTCTGATGAGAGCATCGCTGCCTGTGTGTGGGCTGGAGATTCTTGTAGTGTCTGGCTTGACAAGAACCTCCATCATCGAACATACGACTCACTTAGTCTGATGAAGGTGCAAGCAGTCACTTGCTGACAATAGTTCATTCCGCGTCTGATCCAATCCTGGGGGTGGGGGTGTCACTCCCATTGTTAAAGGTACTGGGGACATGGCGCTGGACAGGGTTTTCCAAACATCATTATTGGCACAGGGTATATTTTCCGAACATCTTTATTGGCACAAGGTTATTTAGATGACCCACCCATCAAGTTGATATTGGCCTAATATTGGCAAAACAATATTGGGCCAATATCAGCAGGCCAATATTGGACCAATATAGGCAGATATTGGTCCAATATCAGCCCAATATTTGCAAAACAATATTGGGCCAATATCACCAGGCCGATATTGGACCAATATCTGCCTATATTGACAGGAGGACAGGACATAACCGAAGTGTGCAATATTGCAACAGGGTATACTTTTTAGTGCAGTATATTGAAACAGGGTGTATTTTAGGGCGCAAAGCGGTTTGCGACAGGGTCAGGTTTTCAAGGTCCCCGGGGGACCCCCTACCCAGTTCCGAGGCGAGTGCCCCCCCCCAGGATCTAATGTGGTATATATGATCAAGAGCTAACCGTTTTTCCGTTTTTCTATGTGTTATTAGCTCTTCATATCATGCATAGCTTACCACGCCCTTAGCCCACTCGTGTGTGACTTCAACTAGTCCGAAATTTAATCTTGCCACATAGTCTTCTACCGGTTCTGTCAAACCACACTGCTTCTGAACTTTGCCAATGCTCTCTGCCACGCTCTTGATTTTCTCAATACCCTACAGAATAAACAGATATTATATGATAGCCATCGCGTCTGAATACCCCTACACGAACATGATATGATCGCCATAGTATAGGATATGTGCAACAGCATAAGCACACAGTGGACACAGGTACCATTATCAAACAAACTATATTTGATACAGGTGCTCGAAGAAAGAGTGAGAGAGAGGAGAGAGAGATATATAGAGAAAGAAAGAGAAACAGAGCAAGAGAGAGAGAGAGAAAAAAGACGCGAGATTGAGATAGATAAAGAGAGAGATAGAGAGAGACACATACATACACACAAAGAGACATAGAGATAATATAAAGACAGAGAGAAAGGGGGGGGGGGAGAAAGGGAAGGTGAATGAGAAACAGGGCAAAAGAAAGACAGATAGATCCTGTACCGTAGACAGAGTGGGAGATAGGTTGGGTTCGCTGCAGTGCTTCTGCTGGAACACCATGCAGGATAGCAGTGCTGCGATCTCGGCCGGCGGCCGGTCAGAGAAGACGTTCTCGAACACCAGCTCCGTAATGACGAGCTCGTTGTTGGCGATCTCGCACGCGACTCGTCCCTTCAGCTGCACGGCGCAGTTGTCATCAACGTAGCGTAAGACTTCTAGCACCTATAGCAAGGTACACATTTGTAGTGTTACAATACATAGCGCAAGGTGCTGAGAACCTATAGTACAGCATATGCATATCTGCAGCATGACATAATTTAGCGAAAGACCCTGTGGACCTAAAGGAAGGGATATATACATGTATAGCATTACCCCTCACGTAGTGCCAGACACTGAAAACCTATAGCAAGGCACACACATGCAGCATTACCTTATGCCTACATTTACTTTTACATTTACCATTGCCTTTTACTTTTTACATTTACTCACAACACAATTTCGTTTTTATTCACACCTTATGCTATTGTAATGCTATAAAAATTCAAGAGGACGGAGAGAGAAGGCGGGAGAGTGATAAAGAAAGGGAGAGAGAGGGAGGGGTAGGAAGGGATGGAGGAAGGGAGACTGGAAGAGATATCAAAGAATATTAAAACGCACCTCTTTACGCTGGCTGTATTCCGGAAGCAATTGAAGACTCTCATCTGACATAAGGTACTTGACCTTCATGATCTCCTCCTTCACCTTCATATTGGACTTCATCTGCTCAAACTATGCAACCAAAATAGACTCCAGTTTAGAAGAAAAGGTTACTCTACACAAAAATCAAAGAATTTAGAAAACTGCATTCGTTCTTATTGTTATTTGTTCATGTATTATTACAAATAACGTCTTATATTACCAGAAAAGAACTGCACGTATTTGGAAAATTACGAAATAATATTTGAAACTAGAAAGGGCAGTTGTCGCCAACTACATGTATCCCCCGTGTTCTCCCCAAGATGTGTAAGTATACAAAGTTTGGTCGCGCTAGGTCAATTAGGGGCCAAGTTATAGAGCAGAAGGGAAATATGATAAAGGTCAAGGTCAAGGTCAAGATGAAATAAAGGTTGCAATGACCTGGTTTCGGTACGCGACACACCTGCTCCCCAAGATGTGTAAGTATACCAAGTTTGGTAGCGCTAAGTCAATTAGGGGCCGAGTTATAGAGTGGAAGGAAAATATGATCAAGGTCAAGGTCAAGGTCAAATAAAAGCCGCAGTGACCTTGTTTTGGTACGCGACACACATTCGCCCCAAGATGTGTAAGTATACCAAGTTTGGTCATGCTAGGTCAATTAGGGATCGAGTTATAGAGCGGAAGGGAAATTGGCGGCGGCGGAGGCTGGGGAGACATGAAACCATAGTAACCCCGCCGACTTCGTCGCGGGGGATACAATAATAAGAAAAACACTCACGTGTTGCGAAAACTGGGGGCACAGTAGACAACGATGGTCCTTCAAGGGTGCTTTCATTTCACTAAATTCCATAAACTGTTCTACAAGATCGATGTCCCTTATTCCAAGGTCATTAACAGGGTGAAGGGCAGTGAGACCCTGTAGGTTAGTTTCAGTCAGCCGTAGCAGCTCCTGAGTAGCAAGACTTGCAGATTGACTGGGAGGATCATTTCTGCAGAGACAAACAAGGTGATGGGTTCATCACAAGCCGTGCCATCCAATGCAAACTATGTCGAGAAGTTCTATAACTATTTAAGCATGCTATCACATTTAGGGCGTGTTTGTTTGGGACAAATCCGTCTGATCGAGATCATGTGATCCTGATCCGACCAAACAAACGCAAACTCATTTTCACCGGTTCACATTTTGCTGTGACCTATCACGGGATGGTTCATAACAAAGAAAAAGCTGTGATTGGCTGAGGAGCGGGCCACCATATTGGATCCCGTTCGAATCCGCCTCGCTAGCAGGGTCGGGTTCGGTGGATCGAGATCAAGTGATCCGACCAAACAAACAGTCAGATCAACGAATCCATCGGATCGAGATCCGTGGATCCGACTAAACAAACGCACCCTTAAACCATGTGGGGTTTATCCCACGCTTAGTAGTACAGCTTGATACTCACTTGAATCTAAATAACTGTCGCTTGTTAAAATCATCAATCACTTTGTCTGCAGCTACTTTGATTGTTTTTGTCGTCACAGCAACAATGTCTGCTGCCACCAGCTCCACCACAGCATGGCCGTATCCATTTTCAGGCAGAAAGAGGCCAGTGTCTGTTATCAAGTCAACACTAAAACTGTCCATCACGTGTGATGCATCTTTGCTGGCATTGCTCTTTCTCTTATCACAGATTTCTTCATCTTTTTGAGTCAGCACAAGAGTTGCGAACTTCTTCTCGTTCCGACCAGACGTCACTTTCAACAGTAGGCCGAGTTGTTGCTGCTGCTTGCCAAGATGAATGACCAGTATTCGCCCAGTAGCTAACGCTTTTACCATTTGTGGATGTGACATGCTCACATCCTGAAAAAAATAATTACATACAATATAAAAGATATAACACAAAATCATTTTTCGGTGCAGCATAGTGTAACTGCATTTATAACCTTCAATACGAAAATCATTTATTAAATTTCAATGGCCAACTAATCTAATTACGAAAATGTTTCTATATCATGCTGCTATGCACATATAGTATACATATGCTCATGCTATAACAGTTTACAGTATTCTACCTGCAGATGGTTTCTCATTTCGACATATTTCTTGCAAGCTGTGTAGAATTGTTCGAGGCTATCATCGCAGTATTGGCACTCAATTGGCTTCATGTCATCAAGATACACCTTTAGCTTCTCCAGCTCTGCCTTGTGTCTGTATGAGCAATAATGGCATCATCGATTTTGATAGATTCCATCAAATTCCAACATTTAGGAATGACACTGCACTAAATATCATATGCTGGAGCATGAGTAGAGGTGGTGGTTAACTGCACGTACCGTGCGACGTCTTTCTGGGTGTGAAATTCAGAGAAGCTACGCTTCATCATGTCCTCAACACGCAGCGCCTCTATCCTCAGCAGGTTCAGGATCATACTGTATGTAAGCCGGAACTGAGACTCAAGTTTCGTTGGCTTGCCCTGCGCACGATGAATCGATCTCATTGTAGTTCCCATCGTAACAGTAACAATAGAATGTATGTTATATAAAAATAATGTACCGAATAAAACTGAGGAGCCATGTTTTTGTCAATACACTCTTCACCATGAAATAAACTGCCTTGCATGCTGCAAATGTAGTCAAACTGCTTTGCTTGATAGAATAGAAGATATATAGTAGATTATATTACTATATTCAAGTATACAAGGGATATAAACACCAGAATAATTTTATGAAGATCTGACAGCTCTGGAACATCACCCTTGCACAACATAATTACAGTCCCAGTTGTGTCCAGACCTCTCCGACCAGCCCGTCCTGCCATCTAGGAGAAAAAAATATATCAACGTGTCATCTACCTCCTGAAAATTAGCGAACATTTTTCATAGATAATATGTGTTTTGTGTATTCGTATGATGTCATTTCACATAACCTTCTCACGAAACCTACGTCGACTAAATCATAGACTCTATATAAAAAACATATTACGGTAAATGCATGCTAGAGACGTACCTGTATGTACTCGCCTGGTAGGAGGTCTCTGAAGTTTGTGCCATCATGCTTGCGTAGGCTGTCGAATATCACAGTTCTTGCTGGCATGTTGACACCCATCGCAAACGTCTCAGTAGCAAAGAGTAACTGCGTAAAGCAGGGGAAAACTGACGATGTGGCAAAAACTGTGTGAACGTTATTTGGCAATAAACAGGTTTGATCCCATATCACATGCTGGTCTTTAATGGTGCAAATCTTAGACACTAATATGAATGCTCCATTAAGATCTAGCTTTCACTCTTATAATGTAGTTTTAAAACCACCTCACAAAAACAACTACACATGCTATATTCATCTGCACTATTTATGTCTTCAGTTGATTACATCATATAGTTTGAGTCCACCATGCAACCACATGCACATAAAGATTATAATGAAATTGTCTGATTACGTATCAACCACTGTTCACAAGCATAGTCTAAAAGCAGTCCCAATGATTATGGAAACTCAATGCGATGCAAGAACGATAATTAACTGATATATTACCTTTACAAGGCCTCTCTGGAAAAGCATCTCAATAACTTCTTTAATAATGGGGAGGATGCCACTATGGTGCACACCAACACCTCTCTTCAATAGGTCCTGCATGTGTATCACCTGTATAAAGAGTAGTCGACGGCTGTAGGTTTAGAAGTTGTGCAGCAGCTTTTTGCTAAGCATCAAGTGTTCAAGTTAGGCCAACAACAGTGCAAAATCGTTTCATCGTCGATTCAAAGGGTTATTATTATTATTATTATTATTAATATTATCATCATCATCGTCGTCGTCGTCATCACCATCAGCATTAGTATAAGATGTGTCATTTACTAATATAAACATCTCATAATTAATTGCCATACCATCACCTATCCTAAATAAGTGAAGATCCTAAAATGGCGTAGAAATGTGATTTTCATTTGACATATAGGTACGATGCTCTGTCCCTCACCCTTGCAGGCTTTGTGCAGTATTTACAAACATTTTCAATTAGTGAAAATCATATAAATATTCTATTTAGCATATGCAGGCCATGCATGTTCTGTCTCTCACTACTGTAGCAACTGGACAAAAGGGAATACCTGTGGAAGCTCCTTGTCTGTCCCCTTTAGCCTCGAGATGCACCTCTGGAAGAAGACGTGTACTTCGGACTTCCCCGCCGCTGTGAGTAGGTCCAGACTGCTCAGCTGAGACGCGTTCTCATCACAGCGTTTCTTGGAGAAGGTGAAGGCGACCACGGGAAGTTGATTCTTCTTGCCGAGCATGTCCACAATGGAGAGCCACACGCCCTTGTCCTTTTTTCATGAGAGAATCGAATCGAAATTTAATTAGTAAACGTTCAACAGGCAGTTTACCCATCCGCCTAAGAGAGATAAGGTACATCATCCCCGCTTTAAATATTGTTGTTAAGTCGGTCAACCTAACCCAGTTTGTATGCGATGCACCGCAGAATGTTTACATAGTGGCATGTTGTCACCGAGCATAGATTTTTAGAATGTCCTATCACAGTTGGCTAGAGCTGTCTGTTAACCACGCCAGGTGGATAAGTAAATTACAAGCTGTGGTATTTTCATTGTATATCGCGGACTGTCAAACATAGTTGTCATCAGTATAGGATATACGCCCTGTCGTTATCGTTCAACACTAACCTCAGAATCATCTGCTCTAATTCGATTTCTGCACAAGGCCAACTGACCTGCTTGGTATTTCCCTGCCTGGTACCCTTGGCACCAAACTGTGTGGAGGACTTGCTGGCTCGAGCTTTCTTAGCATCTACTGCCTTCTGGTATCCGGTGCTGAGAAAATTCTTATTGGCATCGACCAGCAAGAACATCTCATTACTTGTCTTTGTGCTGTTACCTGAGGAAGCAATGAGCGGCAAGTTGCTGATGTCTCTTTCGTTTCACAACCACGCAACACATATGACAGATGATACATGTTACCTAATACATGCCTCCACTGTTTAATCGCAGGGGTTGGGGCATCGCAGCTGTAGAATGATTAAAATTGTAGACAATTTGTTCGTTAGCCAATAGATTCGTGTACATTATATGGCAGTTGACACGTTTACACAACCAGACACTCTGCATCTGTTTTGAGGCAGAGGGTGCTACTCTTTATGCTTGCTAACACAACCTAACAGTAACCTGGTTTTCAACGTTGGAAAGGTTGTAGTAGTTCCCTATGTTAATTAACTGGTAACAATGCAAAATGTTACACTAGACTCTAGATACTAGTACTCTAGGATTTTACTGCATACAACTGTACTTACTGTATAACAAATCGTCTATACCCACACATACTTGTTACCAGATACCTTATTTAATTGTTATAATTAATTATACATCAACGCTACGAAATTTGAACGGCGCCATTGACACTCGCGACCGTGCTGCCACCCTGAAAAGGTTGCGCATTTCCCAATATATTTTGCACGTTACAGACTGAGGGCTAAATACAAAGGTGCAATTATATTTATACCTAAATGCTATTTAACTGAACGATGTTCATTTTAGCACAAATTTATCCATAATATAACTGAAACTATATGTCGTTTATAAGATATTACAATCCTTTTGCTTTTAAATTAATAAAAAAGAAACACCCTCGGTCTGTAGCCCTTGGCTGAAAAGTCGTTTTGCGCAACTGTTCAGATCGTGCGCTTTGAGTGGCGCCACCATCGTTGTAATCAAACCGTAGTCATTAGTTTTAAAACATAAAAAAAATATTTCTAATGGTAATTGAACCATGAAATTTTTTATGTAGCGTTATTTTAACCTAAATTAACTGAAAATAACCCTAGAACCTAGAGTAAAGAATCCCTTTAATTAATACCTGTGTAGATGAAGTGTTCAAGGGGAATAGGGCGCTTCAACGTACTTATTACATAAACCTTCTTCTTCTTTGTCCGCCTGCAACAAAACCACTCGACTTGTACTACTAAAACATCGGCTGTTGGCTTCATCTGCTGAGCATAAATGAGCAATCATGGATATGCATAGACGTCAACTATAATCATGACAAAGTAGGTCATGACAATTATACTTTTTTAATTGGGCTTGCTCGTGAGTTTGAAATATGCACAATTGTAAAAACATTTAAAGAAGTTGTAAGATAGGAAGGTACGACCAGTGCAGCCAAACAAATACAACAACGTTCAATTATCAAAACTGTCACATTAGTAATAATTCTTATTTATCTCATAATAAAAAAGTTTATCATATTATACATATATTATATACTAGGCAATTCAATGACTTTAATCCAACATTTAAAGAAGAGAAAGTTAGTGATCCAAGAGCCAATGATTGCATGAGACTTGCGATGAACAGCTTACCCGACCCACTCGGCGAACTCCATGGTGTTTGGCACGGTGGCACTCAGCAGAATGATGTTGCAGTGGTCCGGTAGCATGATCAACACTTCCTCCCACACCACACCTCGCTGCAAGACAGTGTTGGCATGTTATGGAATTTGTGTTGCAAGACAGTCTTCACATAGTGGAGTAAGGCAATGTGTATTGTACATCGTGCCTGATATACTGTTTTAACAATCTATGCATTGAACGTTTGATTGTAGCTTATGGCTCTTATGCTGAATTAACACACTAACGCTCTAACATTATTCAACCCAAGAAATGAAAACTGCCTGTAAATTACACAGTTGTAAAATGTATGTATATATATATATATATATATATATACATATGAACAAACATACATGCATACATGTATCCTAATATATATTATGCTATTATACCAGTATACTGGTACAATGTACGAATATTGTTTCCGATGATAACTAAACAGGTAAATTCGAGAACGTTTTGTTTTAACAAACTCCTAATATCTAAGTGCATTTCACATTATTGACACATAAGCACAGGTATCACACATTTTCACAAAGTAAGTATGATCGCAAGATAATCTTATTGGTAAAAATATTTCCATGCCTACCTCAGAGTCATTGATATAATGCACTTCATCAAATATTACCCACTCGAGGTCTCTGATGGTGTCAGCGCCATTATACAACATGGACCTGTGAACACACAACTGCGTTTATTGCACAGTACATGAAAAGCAAACGTCAAAGCCACTTGAAAGTAAGTGAAAAATGGCATTACATACGATCCAAAAATCAAGAATTGCAGGTACTTTTCTTCAGTGATTGCACTTCTAAGCAATAAAACTTCTTATTAATAAAATATAAACACAACCGAGTGCTTTACCATCACTTGCCCCCTTCACTCTTCTGGTAGTTTCTTAAAAACTGCTTTTAATGTCATATATTTATAATTCTCACTATATTGCCCAGAGGTAGACAGACATCATCAATCTATTGGTCTATATAACTTTATATACCAACGTTTAATTGTTCACCACATTTCTTGTAATTGCAATAATTTAACAAGAGCCGCAGAGTGTCTGGGCTCATCTGAGGTCTGTTGCTACGGTTATAAACGTAACATTTAAGTCGTGCGTAGTGACACCTTCAATATGGCAGATACGCAGTTGCGTATCACATATTTCAGCAACCTTCTGCATTCTTGCATACCTCCCAAATCCATTGGTATACAAACGTCCGGCTGCCTGAAACTCCTGTTTTATGGTGCATTGTGACCCTAACCCTATTAAAATAAAAATATTAATTGTTGTAAAAATTATTTGTTGTTATGAAATTTTTGGTAAATAAATCATGTAAATATTTGCCTTAATTGGAAAGAAATAGCTGTAAATGGATAAAGACTAGAAAGATAAAAAAAATACAGAAAACAGGTAAATAATAAAGAATCTGATGGGATTCGATCCAAGGACCTTTGAGCCTTAATCCTGTGCTGTAGCCGTTTGGCTATCGAAGCATATTGGCTTTCCAGATTATGGATGTTCCATGAATATGAGAACACTGTGACATCATTGAGGCAGTTCAGGAATCCATGTTTAACCCTCCTCTTAAGGGAGAGTTATCAAATCTCTCTTATTATGATATCTCTCAAGAGGTTATCAAACACTTACTCTTCGCACGTCAGTGGAAAGCACATTTCATGGTCCTTTCAATAAAGCCATAAAAATGGTAGGTCACCGCTGAAACAAAAAAGTTTTTCAATCGCTCCGTCAGACCATGTCTTCAGAAAATGTCTAAAATCTGCCCTGTGCCCCATTGACCTTTGACCTGTGACCTCCAATTTCGGCACAGTGATGGCTTTTTCTACCATGATGCTATACACCGTCTATCACGAGCCTAGGTCGAGCCATTTAGATTTGTGCCACAATTCTGCATTTCCTCCCTATACCTTAAGTTAAGGAGGGAAGGTTCCCCCTTCTTTTACACCTATTGACCTTTGACCTTTGCCCCCCCAGCTTCGACATCCCAACTCGTTTTCGGATTACCCCCCTACGTCCCGACTTTCGAATCCGTACGTCAAGCCGTTAAGATTTGTGCCCAACTGTTGACGCATGCACGGACGGACGGCCGGACGCACGCTCATGCGATTCTACAAGCTGCATCTGACTATGTCAGATGAGCTAAAAACTGATATTATACGTTATATGAAATTACGTTTCCACAAACATAATAATAAGTGATTATATAACATCAAAATAATGTAGAACGTTATTCCTAAATCTCAGTCCTCACAAAATTTTCGATAACATCTTATTAATTTTATAGTAAAGTCCCGAGTAAAGTAAAGCTCAATATACAAGCTCAATATAGTATTAGGTGTATCTAAAAAAGGTTTCTAGCCTCTTCAAGCTTTGTCAAACAGATGACTTAAACTTTAAAAACTGTTCACATTCACCAAGACAGTAAGAATATGCGTTGTCCCACATACCTGAGAATCTCTGTGGTCATGATTAGGCAATGGGCTTCAGGCCTAATCTGTACGTCACCTGTAAGTAACCCCACATCTCCAAACGTCTGCTTGAAATCTCGAAACTTCTGATTGGACAGTGCTTTGATTGGTGATGTGTATATTGTCCTGCAATGGTCAACAGCCATATTTGTTTTTCCCACATAGAAATATCCAGTTTAAGCTCATGCATGCACAGTCTGTCAAGTGAAACTTTATATAATGAGTGTTGTATGAAATAATTTACTTTGTGTGACGAAGGTCACAATGTAATTACTTGCCATATTAAGTGCTTGTGAATGAACAGAACAGCATCATTAATTATTTTAATATCACTTTTTATGCACGCTTTGACATGGCATCAGTAAGTTAGAACATTGCGTCAATAACTTATGAGCACCTATTACTCCCAATCAATTGAATTGAGCAAAACTGGAAAGTTGTTGTAATTTCTTAACTGCACAGTTATTAATCAAGTGATACGTCGGCTAGTTTTGACACTTAAGTTATCTGCAGAGTTCAATGAGTTACTATGTTTGTAGTGCCTCAGACTGGCACAATAATAACTGCAGTTTTACAAGGTCTACATGTGGCCAAGATATAATAATAATACCTAATGAGAGGTGTTATACCAGTGACAATCAAATATCACCCAATATCTACAATCCCATCATGCCACGAAGCAATTTTATAACTGAATGTTATGTATATTAAATTTAATTATGTGTTGTAATGAATTACATGCATACACTAGCACAAACACACACACAGGTACACATACACATGCACACCCACACATGCACACCCACACATGCATGAATGCGCACACACGGCTAGCATGCACACATATAAACAGTTCACCTGGTCATGTGTTTAGCAGACAACGCAATGGCATATTCGGCTACGACAGTTTTGCCGGCAGATGTGTGAGCGGCAACGAACACGGACTCGTGATTCTCCAGATGCAGGATCGCCTGCTTTTGAAAGATGTCTAGCTCGAACGGCCACTGAAGAAATAAGGGAAACAATGCTTGAGTCATGCAAATGCTCTATTATATGAGATGGCTTGTAAATTTATATATGCATGCATACACAGATATGCAACATATATATATATATATATATAGTTTAATCATTTCACTTTCTGCTGGGAATGCTTTGAAAAACATTATTTGTCAATATTTATATTATCATTTGTATCATTTGTATTATGAATTATTGTCAATATTATATTATCTATTTATCCTGCATAATTCAGATAAATTTAATTTATAAAATGTGAAATGTCAGCTGAGCTGTCTTAAAGTTATGCTTCGACAATATTCGGAAAAACACCTGTACTGTGAACAATAAAACTTGGCTCCGCATATAATTTTACTGTACGTATTAGACCATAACAATTCCAGAACGAGGATAATGAAGATAACCATTTCACCTTATATGCTAGATCAGGTATTTTCTTGAAAAAATCTTCAACAGGAGTGGAAATGTCAACCCAGACTGCCCATTCCTCTCTTGGAATTGTTGGTGCTGCTGTTGGTGGTGGCATCTTTGCAGGACGATCTGATACCTACAAAATACTAGCAGCCTTAAAGAAGAACACATGATTATTGACGATACTTCTACGCATATTATATAAATATAACTAGAGCTTGTTTAATGTGAATCTAAAAAAAAAAGTTCACCTTTGTTAATCTCTCCAAGCTGTCACTCCTATGGATTTTGGCTGTTTTATTCAACTCTAACTGATCTTCCTCCTAATACCAATGGAAAGACAATTCAATGTATACTATGCATATTTTGAGACAGAGAGAATACACACGAGCATATATATGATATAATATAAACTTTGGGTATATTTACTCCTTTATATCTAGTTGAATCAAATGTTTAATTAACGATTTCCATGAACACTTTGGCAAATACTTTGAATATGCAAAAAATGTGTGTGTGTGTGGTGTGTGTGTGTGTGTGTGTGTGTGTGTGTGTGTGTGTGCGTGTGTGTGTGTGTGTGTGTGTGTGTGTGTGTGTGCGTGCGTGTGTGTGCGTGTGTGTGTGTATAGGTAAAAAACATCAGAATATAAAATAACATCAATGACTTATAATCATGGTACCAATCAAGTTACAGTGATTATGCCAAAGCTTCAGTCTAGGAACCTGTTTCATGCTTTTAAGCTTCTGGCTGTAAGCTTGTAGTCCTTGTTCATCCTCTTCCCATTGCTCCTCATCACTTAGCCACGTATCATCATCTCCACCGCCTAGTACGTCCACCACATTAAAAATATTCTTCTTGGAAGGCTTCGGTAGAGCCTCTGTAATCTTATCTGGTGGGTTTTCCACATTGAATGACATGCCCTGGGAGAATCCAGGAGGAGTTGACAATAAACCTGGCACAATGCAAACACAGACCCTCGGTTTAGTATCATTCAACACAGTATGGCACCAACTGGGTTTGTTTATATCCATAAACACTATGTATACACTCAAAACAACTGATGTGTCTTTGTAACATTAGCTTCATATTTGAATATTTTTTGTTTCATATTAATTAACAAAAATAAGTTTTAACATCAGTAATGCTGGTTAAAAATTTATAATTTAACCATGTCGAGGTTTCACTTATTCAGCTGCCCATAGTGTAAGTAATGGAAATCTTAGGAAGCTAATGGAAGCTAAATCTTAGAACAAAGATTTTTAAAGCAAATATAACCATTTTCAAAGTCCAGTTCCTGTAGGCCATCACTATGAGCAACCATTGATGCACTCGGTTCATCCATGCCTCCCGGCCAAAATGGGAAATTGCTAGAGCTACCACGCACTGCCTCATCCAGAGGACCTGGTGCCCGGCGCATAGATGTTGAGTTCTTGGAGGTTTCATCCTCCCTACCCACAGCATCCTACCAATTAAGATAAATAATTACAGAAATGACCATCCTTAACGTATCAAATGATAAACGAGTACGATAACTCAACAATAGTATTATATTAACTTACATACCTATTATACCTAAATAAATACCTATTAAACGTTTATATGACTATTTGAAGCAATCTTATAAGATAATCAAGCGATGATGCCAAGCAATAGCAACAATAGTGTTTATTATAATATTTAAATGTCTTACCTCTTTGTAGCTGAGAAGCTGGCCTGTGGTAGGATCTCTAGTAACTTTGATGGTCGTTGGAACGGCAGGTAAATCAACAACTAGGAGTGCTGCTGGGTCTGGAACCCTTTGTATGAACCTGTAATTTAGAGATATGGTATCATGATAAAGATCTGAATCGAAACCAAGACAACTAGCATGGACACAAAAATACGCACAGAAGCACATATATATGCACAAACTATATATAGAACTATACATACAGAACTCATATACAAAATATGACCAATGACGTTTTTTTGTGATTACTAGTTATTCCTCAACAAACCACCACAACAACAACACTACAAGGACCAGATAAGAGTACACACCCAAACACAAATATTATTAGGAATTTGTACCAGGATTAGTACATAAAATACTGATATTGTGGATACTCTATAATCAAGAAGATTCTTGAAACTTCCCTGGCATATTGTGCCTTCGGATAAATACTAATTGATCATTACTCTAATAGAAGTGGGATACGCGATGCCATGGCAGAATTAAAAAATAAATGAACATTGCAGATAGAATACTAAGAAGTTAAGAACACTTGTATAACTTTTACCTCTGACTTCTTCGAAAATCATGTATTAGCAGCTTCTCTGGACTTTTGAGATACTGCTCAAGTCTTGTTTCCAAATCAATCAACACAGGTGGTAGTTCAAATGGTGCCTAGGGAAGATGTGTCTAAAATTAATATACCATACCAGCCATATCCATGTGTAATATATATGTGGCACATGGTTTTTGAACATTTGGTTAGCTTCCATCTCTACTTATTTCACTTTGTCCCTCTCCTCTATTGCCTTGGTCATCTCCAGCTTCTCCCAATCCTCCAACTTCTCTTCTCAACTTCTCTACATACTCCTTCACTTACTTCACCTTCTTCTCCTTCTTCTACCTATTTATGCAGCTAGTAGGATACCTGCAGATGCACAATCTTCTCACTGTATCCTTTGTATGGAACACTGACAAGTATAAGAACATCTAGCATAACACAACACACCATAACATAATGTAATGTATCGAAGGGTAATGTAACATAACCCTCAGGATACTTTTCCAAACAGGCCTAGGCCTCTACAGTTGGCTCCACATCTACATGAAACGAAATGCAACGTAACGTAACATTGTCTGACATTACGTAACATAACTTTCTCCCAGTCATCTGTCTCTACTTAATCCCACGCATCTGCTTCCTCAACCTTTTTCCTTCTTCTACCTTCAGCAGCATATCATCTCTCCTAACACTGTCTTCTCCCTTTCCTTTAGGCTTTACCTTTCATTTCCTCACCTATCTTGTCCCATTTACCTGTCTCTTCTACATCTTATTCTATCTCATCTTCTACACCTTGTACCTTCTCTGTTCTTGTCGTCTCTATCCAATTCATTGCCCCTTCTGAGCAAACAGGTACTGGTAAGGGTGTTTTCATTTGAATATCAATCAAGCCATGATTAAGTAAAACCTACTGCCAGTGCCAGTAGTCAGTACTACTAGCTCTAGTACTATAGCCCTTGTATCTTGTATCTTGGGGTCCCTCTCTTGTATTTCACAAGGCACTGATTCTCTTGGAATGTGCGGGGAAATCCTGTAGATAAGGAAATTCTGTCTACAAGTTAGCATTAATTATTTTACTTTCTCTAATTGATAATGCCTTTCTAACATATTCTAGTGCTGGTTTTAGTATTTTCGGGTCATTACTTTTCCAATCTTCTACTCGTTCCCCTTTATTATACCCTCTATATACCTTACACGAGTATAAATGTTCCAAATTTTCTTTTTTCCTTTCGTCACACAAATCACATATATCATTACTGTAGTTATTTTTAAAATAACTTTTTAAGTTAATCATGCACGTCTTACACAAAGCATGCATCATCAAATGACAGTTTTGTCATATATGGCTTTAATACATAGCTTTCAATATTTATCATTTTCATTTTTGTTTTCTCACCAGCCCTCATGGTATCTCTCATAATTACGGTTTAAAAAATAGCCTCCTTCACATATTTTTTCCATTTTTTCTTATGTTGTGAACCAATAGTCATAAGTGACATACTAATGTCATACTCCTTCAAGATGTCTAAAGTCTCATTTGCCCAATTCCTTCCAATGTCTTTAATTTGTTCTAAAAATACTCTTTTCATTAATCTATATTTCTAACTTAATAATGTATTGCAATAACATTAACTTTTTATGACATATTTTATCTTTTATTGGTATTTATTCCACTTTTATTCTTAGTGCTCTAGTGGTGTCTTGCTGTGCGCTTGGAGTATCCTTCTTAAACATTCATTTTGGAAATCTTCTACCATTTTTTCCTCTTCCTTAGTGAGATTAGTCCAAGTTTCGCTATTATTTAGTAGTGACGGCTCCTGACGGCACTACAGTGCATTCGTAAAGTTTAACACGTGCTTCCATCACATAGTTTCAAAAATTTTGTTCATTAGCCATAGATATGACTTCACTCGTCATAAATCGACCTTTATCTGTTCTTTGTTTCATCATTTCTTTATATCCTCCTTTTTCACGTAATATCTCGCCTAAGTATGTATATTTACTACATCTTTTTATTATTTGATCTCCGAGAAGAATCTGTTTTCCTTTGCTATTTGGGCCTCCAAATTTTATTTCCAATATATTTGTCTTCTTCATATTAAATTGTAGCAATTTTTCTTCCGCCAGCCTAGTACACGCTTGAGCCATTTTTGTCATGGTCTCCCAATTTCCAATTCCCAGGATATCATCAGCACTTCTTCTACCACAGAGGCTGTTGTATTGTGTCAATGTCCGGTTGAACTGTTCCACATTGCCCTTGTGGCAACAAAGGCTATAGTACTAGAGAGCCTACTACACTATAGTCACTACACTGTACACAATACTACAATGAATGGTTGTGTAGTGTAGACTGTAGACTGTAGTCTGACTCTGTACTGAGTCTGTAGACTGTCGTCTAGACTAAGATAATTCAATTTCTGTTCCACGTGTATTGTATACCTTGGACTTAGTACTAGTAGATAAACTGCTGGGCAATTCTGAAGCCATGATGCTTTCTATGGTGGTTAATTGACACTTCTTTTATGTCATTCGCTTAATGTTTATTCAAGGTAATGTTTTCATCATTACTGTTTATGTGCGCGGCCATTATACAGGACATTGACAATGATGGATACTTCCGTATTGTATTATCGGAAATTATTGATGATTTTATAATAATTCCCGATGTTTTAAAAATAATTATAATCTAATTTTTAATAAATATAAAATTATAAATTGTTTTAAATATATTTACTTTATTTTATACGTTTGTGAAGTATTTCTGAATAGGCTGCCATGTATTAATACGTGTCATCAGTAAATCTGCGGTAAATACTCGCGAGAGACATGGATAGTTTATAAAAATGACACACAGTCAGGGAAGTTGCGGAAGGGATTTTGTCTGTGTCAAACCGTCTCAGATGAAGTAAGATTTCAGCTGTGACCATGAGACCACCACTGACTAGGATATGGCAGTGTATATTTACCGTGTTAGTGACGTATCACTGTTTTGGGTCAGCTGCAGGGATGACAAAAGAAGAGAAAAGACAGCTCAAGTAAGCCTAGATACAATAATGTAACCCAAACCCAAGAGGATAGGGGGGTCCTCTTGGGTTTGGGTTACATTATTGTATCAAAAGTAAGCCTAGCTCTAGTAGTAGTAGTAGTACTATAGCCCTCGTACAGTTGCCGCAGGCTACGCTGCCTGCGGAAACTGTACGCGGGCTATATAGTACTAGAGCTAAAGTAAGCCTAGCTCTAGTAACTCCCGGTCGGTTGCCGCTAGCAGCGTACAACTGTACAGTGTACGCGGGCTATAGTAGTAGTACTACAGTACTACTACTACTAGAGCTAAAATAAGCCTAGAGACTGACTATACTCTATAGGCTATAGCCTATAGTATAGGCTGTAGGGTATAGACTATAGGTATTAATATTGTAATACTATTTATTGATAGTGAACAAAATTTCTAGATGCTCACTGCCTCACACAGACAAAAAGTCACAATACATAACAACATACATCATTCATAGCGTGGAGGGCCCAAGGATATTAAGACTAAGACTAAGAGTAAGAGCTGTCCACATTTGCACATATCGCACAATGCGAAAATGATTTGTGCCCAGTGGGGGGGGGGGGCACTCACCCCACATTATGGTAGGTATGTG